GGGTTCGCTATTGTCAGTCTTGACCAATCAGTGAGTGGCCCCCGATATTTTCAGGGGCATATCATTAATAAATTAGCAGGCAGCAGTATAACAAAATGGCGTACAATTCGTCGTTTGAGATTCTCTTTGAAAGTGCTTGTTTGAAGGCTCTGAAGTCAATGTTAAAATGTCAATGTTAAATGAAGTTGTTTAGCTTGGACGAATTTACAGAAATACAGCAAAAGGCTCTTAAAGAGATTGTTCTTGGAAAAGATGTCCTTGTTATTCTTCCTATACTGGCTCGGGCAAATCTCTTATTTTTCAAACAGTGCCACTAGTGTATTTTGCTCGTTTTTCTGGCAGATAATACATCCATTTGGATTATTAAACCCTGGACATGTTTCACGTGGGGTAATTTCCATTCCTTTCTCTTTTCTAAAGCGCTAACTATTACATTATATCGCTACTTCGCGAAGTTTTCATTTCACATAATTTCCCGCCTTGTAGCAAAACCTTTACGGCTGTTGTCAGATATTTCACTTCCGTTCACTGAAAAATTCACTTCTGTTACGTCATAATATGCTAATTACACAAAAACGTCACGGACATGCGCGACACGTTTCGAACCCCATGCGCCCAGCCGTCAGGGGAGAGAGTATCGCGGGCGCACGAAATCCCGAAGGCTGGAGACTGAGCCCAAGGGATAGATGGTTTAGGGGGCTTTTCTCTGACAGACATTCATGATTTTATCCTTCCACTATTTATAACTGATATTCAGCTGATTSTCATTTTTCCAGGCATGGGATTGGGAAGCATAGCAGGATACCTCTTTGGAAACAGGTAAGTCTCTCAAAATATACTGGTATTTCAATGATAAAAGAATCTAGAGGAGATCACCTATGGTGTTCTCCTCCTTAAAATAATGTAAATAATTCAGAGTACAGTATGCAATTCATGTAAGAGAATCTAGAGGAGATTACCTATGGTTTTTCTCCTCCTTAATTGTAAATAATTATGTGTTGTACGTAAAAATTAAAAAAAAAAGTTTTGGTAATATGTAATAGCAATTGATCCCAAAAACACTGCATGTCTAAGTGAAAAGAGGTTTACAAGATGATTTAGATGTTGTGTGTGTCATTCAGTTTTGTGCAAAAAATGAGACAAAAGAACATGCATGGAAGTCAAATTGATCACCATGGCCTTGACACTTTATAAATTTTACAACTACACTGTAGAGCTAAGTGCAGGCAAGGCTTCCAGAGGACTTCAGGATGATAATGTTCCATGCCAATATGTTAATATTTATTGACGTGCTACTCTTCCTAATGGACAACTGATAGACAAGATAGTTGCTTACATGCATTTGACATACTGAGAGACAGTGGGAGACACAAAATTATGAGCAGGAAGAATTATTTCAGGAATGTTTAGTTGAGAAATGATTTTAGCCAAGAAAGCGAGAGGAAAAAATTGAAAATGTTTTGTGTTTACTGTGAACAATGAAATAGGAATATTTGTGAGCTTTTTTCTGCTGAATCTTTTATTGAGTTAAAAATACWCATAGATGACAGCTTCTGATTGGTCAATGAACAACAAACATTCCTAAAATAATATTGCTTGGTGGTCACATTTTTGTGGAGCTACCTTGTCATGAGCAGTGCTTTCCATGCAGATGTTCTTTGTATGATCACATAATCATGGTAAAAATAAATTCTAATCAGAGTAAGGTTTGACTTACATCCACACTTGGTGAATGTAATTATCAACAAAGAGTCTTGTTTTCCACTAGTTTTAAATTTTAATATTTCAAAATCTTTAGAGGTTATGGTAATACAGGCTACCACCATCACCACAGCAACCCATACTATCACCATAACAACAGTTGGTTTGGTGGAGGAAATAGCTGGTTTGGTGGAAACTATGGCAACCATGACAACAGTGGTTGGTTTGGCAATAGTCATGGTAACACTGGTTGGTTTGGCAGTAACCGTGGTAATGGTGGCTGGTTTGGTAGTGGAAGTGGTTCTTCATCTAGTTGGTCAAGTACCTACAGAAGGTCTGGTTCTTCAAGTTCTGGATCAAGTTCTGGATCAAGTTCTGGATCAAGAACAGCTTCAGGTATAAAGAATGCATAAAA